AACAGCCAGGGGAGATTTGGTAACGGGGCCAGCGGGTGGCATGGTGGCTAAGGCACTGGATTCCCACGTGGCCGCCCGCAGTTTGAGTTGGGGCCTGGGCGCGTGTGCAGAGAAGGGGCTGCAGCATGGACATGACCCCAGGGTGACGTCTCCCTGTCCCCCTCTGTCTCTGGCAAGCGCATGTGCCCTCTGCGGATGAGCTCATTCAGAGTAGACAGTGTGTACAGCTGAGTGACATCACAGCACGTAAGCTGCCATACCCCTGAAATAACGATTGTGTGACGAATTCTGCCTGTGCACCGGTGACGCTCACAGTTTCGCAGGCAGCGAGGCCCCGTCTTCAAGTGCGGCTTCCTGAGCCCAGTCCAGAAGCGGGCGGCAAGTTCAGGGAGCGGGCGGTGCGCTGGGGGAAGCCAGGACCTCCCGGAACATCCCTGGAGCAGTCGCACATTGGGCACCTCTGGCCAGAGCGGCGTGCGATTTGCAAAGCACTTGGCGTGGTCACACCCATTCGATTCCATCAATAGCCCACTATTACTTGTTTCTAAGTACCTTTAATTGTGAATAATTCCTGAGTGTCTCTGCACAGCGCTGGCTATTCCCTTAGGGTGAACGCATAGAAACAGGAGGCTTTAGCTCTTGACTGACGCCCTTGCGTTTTCCACCAAAGTCTTACAGTTTCTGTCTTCCACTGGAAGTGTAGGAAAGACCTCGTTTCCTTTTTCTCTCCCAAGACCGAGAGGATTCGTCTACTTAACTTTGTTATCCGGTTGGTAAATTTTCTACTCAAATGTTAAATTTTGCAGTGACTTGCTTAGCAGTCACAATGAACGTATCTATAACACATGCCTTATCCATTCCTCTTTCTTAGTGGTTGGTTCACGCCTTTTGCCTGTTTCTTCAATATGTATATTCTTACTTATTTGCCAAAGTTCTTCTTCTTATTATTATTGACAGAGGGACAAGCAGATGGCAAAATGATTATATCTGGACTCCCATGTAGTCGACAGCAGTTCAAGTTCCAGACCGGACACTTAAAACTCAGGCCGGGCAAGTGTGCGTGCGTGCCCAAAGTCGCGAGAGGAGAATGGAGGAGAAGGGATTGTGGCATGGCCATCCCCTCTCAAGGGTGATTTCTCACTTTCTGTCTGTCTCTGTCTTCAATGAGAGCACACAATGTATAACAAAAATCTTTAAAAAAAATAAAAGTTCATTTTATGTATGATAGCATGTGCACGAGAGAGAGAGAGACCCAGTGTCTAAGCACGCCTGGCCCTGCCCCAGTGCCCTCTAGTTCTTCAGCATCTCAGGCACTTGCCTGTGTGTTCTCAGGCTGACCCAGGGATCCAAACCTACGCCAGCTCCGTGGCTTCCAGCACAGCGGTCAGTTTGCTCTGAATTATGTCCCCGGGCCGGGCTACTAGCTGCCCTTCCGTGGTAGGGCAAGCCGTACCTGTTGCGTGTGTTGTTTCTGCTTTTGATGTGACCCCGCAGAGGTCTCTGTCTCTCTGCTCTGTACTCCTTCAGCACGTCCGTGGTTCTAGCGTGGACCTTTGCAACCCAAGTGCATTTGCTTTGTAATGAGCAGTAATAGTGGTGGGCTAGCAGTTTTAATCGCTATCGTGTACTGACTAAATTCATTCTTTCCCAACCGATGTGAACTTTGATATGCTTTATGTGTTGTTCAGATTCCTCTACCATAGTGTTCTAATTATTGAAGTTTTATATTGTTTTAACATCTGATGCTGCATATTTCTCTTCTTAATTATTTATAGTTTCCTAATTAGTCTCATATTAGTTTTTCCTAAAGAACCTAAAAGCATCAACTTCTCTGGGGTTGCTGACTATGGATGGGAACTGCCACTTTCATAAAAGAGCAGCAAAAATAAATGTGAAGAGCCTCTCCTGTCCTTCCCGGCCGTGCCTAGCTGCCTGGCCCTGCACCTGCTCAGCCAAGGCAGGTCCCCAGCTCCCACCTGCTCCTCCGCGGAGCACTGCTCCGCTTCCCAGGAAATGGCTTTCCTCCAGGCCCTGTGGGCCGTGACCGCTCTGCCCCACAGTCGCTGGTTCTCATGAGCTCACTGCACTGGCCGCCCGGCCCCCTCCCACCTCTGCCTGCGACCGGCGACCTGTAGCTATGAGACCTTTGGCTCCCCTGGCTGAGCAGCTTTCCTGGGGCTGATTGGGAATGGCGCCCAGTCCAGGCTTAGTCCACACCTCGCGCTGGGAATTCCTCGACACTTCGGTGCAGGGACGGCTCCATCTTCAGCCGCCTGCTGCAGCCCTCCCCGTCCTCACAGTGCTCTGGGACTTCGGGGGTGGCCGAGAGTTCCTCGTGTGATGATCGATTTGAAACGTCTCTCGGTCTGTTTCCAAGCGCTGGCTTTTCCCAGAGGCTGCTGAAGATGAGTGTTTCCAGGTGCCCACACTGAGCTCATTTTCTAGTGGGGAAGTGGGCTGCCCCACAGGTTTAAAAGAGCACTCAGCCCTGCGGCCGCCCTCCTGGGGTCACGGACACCTCACAGCATGGCAGTGCCCCCAGAGCCAGTCCTGTCGCGTGGGGAGCAGTGCGTGCTCCGTCTCATGAACGTGGTGAGACGTGAACTGACCAGGTGGCCTCGGCGATGGCCGGGCCTCCACCTCCGCAGGTTCCTCGGGCTCCGTCTCCCTCGCTCCCGCTTTCCCACCGTGGAATGCCGTGGTCTTGGCGTCTCTCTGCTCCCACCTTTACCTCTTTCGAAGGTCACTGGGTGTAAACAAGTGGATGGAGGGGGTTTGCCCCTCTGTGTACACGCGTCCCAGGGCGCCCCTCCTGCTCCTTCTCTGCCACAATCCCCAGGGCTTGGCAGTGCCTCAAAAACTTGGCTCAGGCCTCGCATCTTCCCAAAGAAACAGAGAGAACCCTCCCCAGAGAGAGCGAGACTGCGTAAGAAACAGATGTAAATTCTACTTTTAAATTAACATTTTACAACAGTATAGTCACCCGATGTGTTCAGAGACATACGTATTGGATCATCGGAATAGTCCTGATGTAGTTACCGTTTTTTTTTTTTTTTTTTTTTC